TAAAGTCTTGTCAGTTACAGGCAGCAGCTTGCAACGGACTAATTAAAGGTGTAGGGCTGGGCTTGTCAACTTGTGGTTGGCACCTATTGTGGAAGTGCTCTGGAAAAAAAAATCAGCTAAAGAAGAGATCAGTTGTTTAACAATCCACTCGCTTTTTCCATTAAACCCAAAAGAAAAGTATCTGGTTTTCTTTCTATATTCACTTTAAGAATGTTCTGTATCAAGAGATGAATCCTATTCCAATATTTCTTTGCTTTATCACACTTCCATCCTAAATGATAAAAACATATATAACTCAATAGCAGAGTTGGAAGGGACCTTGGAGGTCTTCTAGTCCAACTCCCTGCTAAGGCAGGAAACCCTATACCATTTCAGACAAATGGCTATCCAACATCTTCTTAAAGACTTCCAGTGTTGAGGCATTCACAACTTCTGGAGGCAAGTCGTTCCACTGATTAACTGTCAGGAAATTTCTCCTCCGTTCTAAGTTGCTTCTCTCCTTAATTTGTTTCCACCCATTGCCTCTTGTTCTATCCTCAGGGGCTTTGGAGATACAGTTGATTTTGACATCCTGTGCATGTACTTATTTTTACCTATTTTCTCTGTACTCTATTTTAGACTTTTATCCTTTTGAACTTTCCATGCCTTTGGAGTCATCATCAAAGAATAGCAAAAAAAAAAATCACTCTCCACTAACACTGCCATGGATTTGCTTAAAGCCATCAACACTCCTTTAACTACCGGCTCCAAATCATCTAAAAGGACTTTGGAAAAATCATCTCATTCTTCATTCAGTGCTCCCAGTTATTCAGAGGGTAAGAAAGAACATCACAAGAAGAAGCTGAGTGGAAGCAGCGATCCACCCTTGGATGATGGTACTTTCCACAAGTCTAAAAAAATAAAACCACCATATGTAAACTCTGAAATGTTGACCTTACGTGAGCCTGATGGCTTAAAAATGAAGCTAATCCTCTCACCAAAAGAAAAGGGAGGTACCATAACAGAAGATCCCTTTTCACATTCTGGAGCTACAAAAAAGACCTCTAAGAAGTCTATTCGGGATGAACAAAACTTGCAACACTCAAGCCACGATACACACAGCTTCTTGAAATCTCGCAAGAAGCACAAGCCACCTACAGATCCCCATCCTCTTTCTCCTGCTGAGGGCTTCAGCCCAGACACATCCCTCTTCCCTGAAGGCCAAAGCAGTGATTTTGAGCTTTCAAACTTGGAGCCACAAATGGAATCTGGATCTTCATCTGGAGGTGAGTTGGAAGCTGGAGAACTAGTCATTGATGATTCATATCGGGAGATAAAAAAGAAAAAGAAATCAAAGAAGAGTAAAAAGAAGAAAGACAAGGAGAAACACAAGGAGAAAAAACACTCTAAATTGAAGAAGAGTTCTGGACTCTCTTCATCACCAGCAGCAGTGGAAATAACACCACAACTGCCTGTTTCTCCAACTAGCATCCAGTTTGCTCTACCTGCCCCTCCTCCTTCTCCCTCACCACTACCACCTGTTTTCTGTACAGATAGCCTGAATGAGAAAAAGAAGAAGAAAGAAGAAAAAGAGAAGATTGAAAAAATAGAAAAAGAAAAGGTAAAACCGCATAGCAAGTGAGTACTATAAGTTATGGTTGATTCTTGTAATAGCAAATTCAAAATGTTCTTTGTAGCTCCAGAGTTTAAGTCATAATCTGCTACCAGTATTTAATCCAGAGGTTTTTGTGTTGCAAATTTTTTTAGATTCTGTCTTTCATTATCATCATGAATTTACGGCATTAAGAAATACTGCATAAATATAACATATATATATATATATATATATATATATATATATA